AATTATTTATTTAAATAATAGTTAATTATTATTTTTTAAAAAATTAATTAATTATCATTTAATTTGATTTAGTATATTTTTTAAAAATAATTTATATGTTAATTTTATAGTATTTATGTATAATTTATATAAATTATAATATATCTATAATTTAAAAAATATTTATTTAGTAAATCTAAGTTTATTTATTTAAATAATAATTATATTTTTTGAAAATTAATTACTTATAATTTAATATGTTTTTGTATTTTTTTAAATTTATATTTAAATATATATTATAGTTTATTTATTTAAATAAGTAAAAATAAAATATTATGAAACTTTTTTATCTATTAATATATATATATGTATTAAAATAGTACAATAAATTTTTTGGGTATTTATGTTTTTATAAATCAATAAATTCATAATAATAAGGATAATAACAGATAATTTTCATAAATAGTTATTTATTTAAAAAAATAACATATTTTTTATTAGAAAAATAATTATATGTTTATATTATATTATATTAGAAAAAAATTGTTTCTTAGCATTTAATATGAAAATTTATTTTTAATAAGATTTATTATATTATATTATTATTATATATATTGCAAAATTTTTTAGTATTATTAGTATTATATATTTATATTTTATATATTATATAGATAGGTACAGTATAGATAAATAACAAACAAACATTATTTATTTAGAAAAAATAAAATAAATTAAAAAACTAAATGACATAATAATTGCTTAAAAACATTATTATTTAATATCTCAATTTAAACATTATAAACAAAATAATAATAATAATAATAATAATAATATCATATTTATTTTATGACAAACAAAACAAAACAAAATTGTCTATCAATTGATTTTTTTATATATWKATATATATATATATTCAAAACAAAAATATTTTTAATGTAATAGATATTTGTAATAATTTTTTGTTGTTGTTAACTTTTTTGTTTTGTATGCAAAAATAATAATAATAATAACTATTGAAAAATAATAAATAATTTTTTTATTATTAATTTATTTTATTAAAAAAAATAAAGGTTTTATTCAAATGATACCCATAACTGATAGCTCGACTACAACTACAACAACATTATCGGCAATAACTATGGAATTTACGGATCACTCGATGTTTTTGACGACAACCCATCAAACAGTTAGCCAGCAAACTACCGGTGCTATCGGCGATAAATATCATATACACGATGACGAGGACAGTCATATAGCTGTTAAAACCAACACCACTGATCGGTCACTTAGACTACTATATCGTTTGCAGGCAATGTTTGGCGTAACCTATTGTGGCAGTAGTGGTGATGGCGGTAGTGGTGGTAGTGGTGGTGGTGGACATCATCATCAGCCACACCAACATCCAAAACCTACCGGTCCTACCATCAAACGTCTACTACTAATACTTTACGATTTGCTGACCGTCGGCCTGTTTTTGATGTTTGAATTGCAAATCTATTGCGACGATTCGTTCAACAATATACTGGTCACTACTACCGAAGTCAATCGGGCCGGCGGTATATTGAATGTCATATTTATGGCCTCGGCATCGGCAATGGCCATCGAGTTTCTATTCATTAAGATTATACTGCTGATCTATGGCCACCGATTGTATAGGTGTGTCCAATCAATTGGTAAAGTATTTGTTTTTTTTTTTAATTAATTAATTAATTTATTTAATTATTATTTATTCAATTTATTAAATTATTATTTATTCAATTTATTAAATTATTATTTATTTAATTTATTTAATTATTATTTATTTAATTGATTTAATTATTATTTATTTAATTGATTTAATTATTATTTTTTTTAATTGATTTAATTATTATTATTATTTAGTTAATTTAATTATTATTATTTTTTAGTTAATTTAATTATTATTTTTTTTATTTACAAAAAAAACTAAAATACTTAATAATAAAATTATTAACACTTTTTTTTCTCTATTAGTAAATTTGAGTTTTAGTTAATTGATTAATAATTATCTATTATTATTATATATAAAGTAATTATTAAATAGATTTTTTGTGTTTTAAATTAATTAATTTTTTTAAGAATAATAAATTTAATCTATTAATAAATTAATTAATATTTATTAATAATTAATTAACTATAATTTTTTTAGTTACTTATGTTAGAAAAGTTAGAATTTTTTTTTGTAATACAAATTTATTTTAATTAACTAAAACTTTTTTGTTTGTTTGTTTACAGTTTAGATCAAATATTTAGTATCACTTATATTAGAAATAATAAAAAAAATAAATAAATACAGTTTTAAAATAAAATCATAAACTTTTTAACTATAGATTAATTTTATTTATAAAATATTTTTTTATATAAATTTATAGTTTACAGTTTTAACCAATTAATTACATTACAGTAGAGTCTAGTTAAAAAAAATATATACTATTTTATTTATTTATTTTTAATTATATATATATATTATTTTAATTTTAAATCTTTAAACTTAAAACTTTAAATTTTAAATTTTAAATATAACTAAAATAAAATATTATTAAATTTAAATTAAATAAAATATTATTAAATTAGTATTATTTTTTTAAATTTATTTTTTGGTTATCTAGGTCATCTACGATCGCTTAGCGAAATAGTATCCATATTTCTATTCATACTATTGGTAACCATATTGAAATTGATCTCGGTCGAATTGAATTTTATCCAAGTTAATTCAACTAGCTCATTGGCCAATGTATTTACCCAGCATAAATTTCGTATACTATTCTATGGGTTTATGTCTATATTGATAGCGGTTACAAAAACATCAGTCATAACCCTATTAATGTATAGCGGATATGTTATACGTCAACAATTAACAGGTATTAGTAGACTATATATATATGTATTTTATCATGTATAATTTATAATTTATTTTTTAATTAAAAAAATGTATTTTTAACATGTACAATATATACATATAATTTATTTTCTCAAAAAAATAAATTATATATTTTTTAACATGTACAATATATATTTTTATTTTAACTAAAAAATAAATTATATTTAACATGTACAATATAGAATTTATATTTACTAAAATAGAAATTATATATTTTATTAGCAAGTACAATATATTTTTTTATTTTTACCTAAAAAATAAATTATATAATTTTTAACATGTACAATATATATATATAATTTATTTTCTCTAAAAAACAAAATTATATATTTTTTAACATGTACAATATATTTTTTCTATAAAAACTAAATTATATATAATTTTTATAATTTTTTTAAAAATTTTAAGCATTCATAGACTTTTTTAAAATTATTATTTTTTAAATATATTTATTTTATTTTTTAATTATATATATATATATATAGAATTTACATACCGAATCAAAACCTATAGCGGCAGTACACAGAATATTCCGGGAATTGGCGAAACATTTCTGGAATTGACGGGAAAAGTCGAAAAAATAAATTCCTTAATCGGAACCGTTATGTTGATAAAAATCGGTGTCAACTCTGTACTGATGACCTCATGCTTGTGTAGTTTCGGTGTCATCGAAATGGACACTTCGAATAAAATATCGATTACGTTATTTATGGTCAACTCGGTACTGGATATTAGTTCAAGTTGTTTTTCATCTCAATTGATTATCAATGCTATCAATCGGTTATGTAGACGATTGGAACGTAATTTATTGACCTACCGTTATAAACTAGATGATCATCAACAATTGAAATTGATCATGCACACCCGGAGGCGATTTAAATTTAAGGTACTAGGTCTATTTGAATTGAAATGTGTAAATATTATGTGGATCATTTTCTATGTAAGCAACTATGCTGTTATCATTATACAGACACAATAGATTGATTAGACAATTAGAATTCAAATTAAAACCAGGTTAACGTTTTTTGTGGGTGAGTACGTAATTTATGGATTAATTGGGGTACCCCTTAATTGGTATATTACCCCCTCCCCAAAAAATAATAATAAGTTTATCCATAAATTATGTGTATGTGTGTTTGTATAAGTAAAATTGAGCATGCTAATTGATTTCAATTAAAAAAAACAATTTGGTATTTTTGCAATGAACTTTTTCAAGCTAGTTAAATTTATGATTTTAGTTTATGAGTGGGTGTGTGGGTGGGTGTGTATGGCTGGGGTATGTTTTAATGGATCTATTTTTTACATCAATTGATTGTTTTATCATTAGTTTTTAATTTTTGTTTTTTTTAATGTAAAATCTAGACTAATATTCAATAGCAATTAATTGTTGTTGTTTTTAGTTCATAAAAATGTTATGAATATTTTTAATATCAATTATAATAGATATTATTTTTTGTGAGCACAATATAAACATTTTATTTTTAACAAAAATAATTATAATATGTATAACTTATAATTATTAAAAATCATAAAACATAAATAAGTTAATAAAATAATAATTATATGTATTTTAAATATATTGATATCTAGAAAAATAATTAAATATTGATTTTTATTTATTGTTGTTAAATAAAAATGTTAATTATATTTATTTACACAATTTTTTTAAAAAAAACTAACAAAAAAATGTCAATTATTATATAACTAATACTTATAACATAATAATAACATAAATATTATATAATCAATAATCAATAATAATAATAATAATTAGTAGTATTATTAAACTATATGTCTCTATATTTTTACACTATTTAATTAAAATTAAATATTAAAATAAAAAAAACTTTTTAAAAGTCAAATAAAATATTTTACAAATACATATGTTTAAAAAAAACAAAATCAATATTATAATTAATCGCCATTTTATTTGTGTGGAAATCGACAAAATTAAAATGTAAATGTTATTTTTGTTTTTGAATATATAATTATTACAAATTAAATAAATAAATATCTATTAATTTTAATTTTTTGTGCCTGTATCAATATATATATATAAATGAATTTTAATTATCAAAAATTATTTAAATCTATATTTATAATTAACATTATAATTAACATAGAGTTTGGAAAAATAAATGGCAAGTAATTAAAATAAATAATAATATTTTTATTATTAAATTAATTTTTGTTATTTCCAGTCCTTATAATATTAAATTTTATTTTTAAATTAATTAATTGTTTTTTTTTGGTTTTCATATATATATAACTAATAATAATTAATAGCCATTAATATAATCAATGGTGAAAACTGTGGCCTACAGTTCAATGTCAGTACCCAAGGAAAGGCACCTAAAAAACTGTATACCGGTGCCGTAGGTATGGGCCGTATTGTTGGCGGTGAGGATGCCCTACCCCATGAATTTCCCTGGATGATTAGCGTGGCAAAATATTATAAAAATAAAAACAAATATGATCATTTTTGTGGGGCTACCCTGCTGAGCGAGACCCTGGTTATTAGTGCGGCACATTGTTTTAGTAAGTATGTAATTTTTTTTTAGATATTAATATTTTTTTTTGTTTTAATTTTTTTTTATAATTATCGAATTATTGTTTTTTAATTTTTTTTTAAATTTTATATAAATATAAACCTCTCCCTAAAAAAATTAATTTTACAATTAGTTTTTACAGTACAAACTGTAAATAATTTTAATAATTTTATTTATTATAGAATTTAATAATAATAATATTATCTAGGCAATTTTATTGTCTAACATTATTATTATTATTACTATAAATTAATAATAATAATTTATATCCTTATATTTTATATATATATATTATTATTAGTTATTCAAAGTTATTAATAATAAAATTAATTTTAATATATATATATATATGCTAAAAATAAATAATAATAAAAAAGTTTCAAATTATCATTTTCAAATTAGTAAAAAAAACAATAAATTAAAAAATAAATAAATTAATTAATACAATTTTAGGATCAACAATTAAATTTTTGTATTTTTATATACAAATTCAATTAAACAATTATCTATATATTATATATATTGTAAAATTATATTTAATTATTAGAAAAAAATAAATAACAATAATATATTTATAATTAGATTTATTATTTAATTAATTAATTTTATTTCATCAAAAAAATAACAAAACATTTTTATTTTATTTTTTTGTTATTTGAAATTATATATATATATTTTTTATTAAAAAAAAAATAAATAAATAGATTTAAAGAACCGGCTGAATTTTCCAGTCTACTTATCCGTGTGGGTAGCAACTATATCAGTGGACAGGGAGCCTATAACTATACAATTAGACGTGTACAGGTACACCGGGAATGGGATGACCAAAATAAAATCAACGACATAGCCCTGGTTACTGTTAACGGCCCAATAGTTAGCCGACTAAGTCAAGTAGATACCGGTGCCGCTGCCGGTAGTAAACGACAACAATATACAGTAAACAATGTATGTTTACCCCAGAAAAATCAGGAACCCGGTGGACAGTTGACTTTGTCTGGTTTCGGTCAACTGGGCGAATATGAACAAAAACCTGAACTACTACAAAAACTACAGGTGCCCATCTATGACTACGGGAAGTGCCAAAAAAACTACCGGCGCTACGTTAAGTTGGGCAAGAAAAAAATGTGCGCCGGCGGACAGGGTGGCCAGGACTCGTGTATGGTATGCTTATATATCTTAATTAATTAATAATTATTATTATTTTAGTTTTTTTTAGAAATAATAATAATATAAATTTATGATTATATTATTAGTTAGAAATTAATTAATATTTTAGTAAAAAATTTGTTAATTAATTAATTAATTAATTAATAATTATTATTATTTTAGTTTTTTTTAGAAATAATAATAATATAAATTTATGATTATATTATTAGTTAGAAATTAATTAATATTTTAGTAAAAAATTTGTTAATTAATTAATTAATTAATTAATAATTATTATTATTTTAGTTTTTTTTAGAAATAATAATAATATAAATTTATGATTATATTATTAGTTAGAAATTAATTAATATTTTAGTAAAAAATTTGTTAATTAATTAATTAATTAATTAATTAATAATTATTATTATTTTAGTTTTTTTTTAGAAATAATAATAATATAAATTTATGATTATATTATTAGTTAGAAATTAATTAATATTTTAGTAAAAAATTTGTTAATTAATTAATTAATTAATTAATAATTATTATTATTTTAGTTTTTTTTAGAAATAATAATAATATAAATTTATGATTATATTATTAGTTAGAAAATAATTAATATTTTAGTAAAAAATTTGTTAATTAATTTTATTTGATATATTCGTGCATGTATGGTATGCCTAATTATAATTATAGTAATAATTATTATTATTATTATTATTTACTTATAAAATCAATTTTTAAATTTATATTAAAAAATAATAGTAATAATGAATTTAGTTTTTTGAGAATAATTATTATTTATTAATTTTCTTTTGTTAATTTAATTATTAATAATATTAACATAACATAAATACTATAAATACTATAATTAAATAATTTTATAAAATTAACAAAACTAACAAAAAAAAACATTTAAAAAAACATTTAAAAAAAACTGTAATTAAACTTAAAAATTATTAAATATAAATGTCAATTAATTATTTATTTAGTTACAATAGGAGTTAATTAATTTATAATAGTATAAAATTATTTATTTATTTTTTTGCTAATAATTTTAATAATAATAATAATAATAATAATGATTTTAATAATAATAATACTATTCTTAATGATTTTAATAACTATAATATTTTTTTCCAATTATTATTATTACATAAATATTTTTACAAATAAAAAATAATTATTAATACAATATTTAAATTTTATTATTTTGTTTTTAAATTTTAATTAACTAATCACACAAAAAATAAATAAATTATATACTGTCTATATATATATATATATATATATATATATATATATATATATTAGGGTGACTCAGGTGGTCCGCTAGTCCAGCAAATCGATGGCCGATACTATTTGGTGGGTATAGTATCGTTTGGTTTGCCCTGCGCTGAACCTAACTTTCCCGGCATCTATACTAAAGTATCCAATTTTATCGATTGGATAGTCGACCATGCTAAACTAAGCGACCAATTAGATACTACTAATAAAACTACCATGCTGAAACTACCTGTGCAATCATCATCAACAAAAACAATTACTACCGTTCCTCCATTGATAGCCAACAAATTGTCGACAACAACAACAAAAATATCTAAAGTTAATGGTAGTAGTAGTAGTAGTAGTAGTAGTAGTAGTAGTACTGTAGTGTCAAAAACAACCGGTGCTATTGTATCGCCAAAAAAAAGTTTAGTTAATAATAATAATAATAATACTAAAAACATTTCAAAAAATAAGGTTAGCTTAAGTACTACTACTACTACTACTACTACTACTACCGCACCAGTAGTTGGCACCACTACGGGGGTGGATGTGGTGGAGGATACTGATGATACTGATGATGAGGATCATCGACTAAAAAATAGTCAAACAATTACTACGACTACTACTACAGATACCAGTGCTGATGAAAGTGATGCCATCACCACTACTACCACCCACAATGATCCACTACCTGAGTCTACAGTTGATAATACCGTATGACTATTATATAGTATATAAATGTTTAGTTATTTTTTTTAAATAATTATCTGATAGTATAATACAAGAAAAGTATATATATATATAACTGCTAGACATATAGATTATTATACATATAAATTAAATTTATTTATAATATACACTGTAAATAGCTATATATAAATATATAGATTATTGTTTTATTGTATTTATTATAATTGTTTTGTTGTTGTTTTTTGAAATTTTTAAAATCGACAATTATAAAATTAAAAAAAATTATGTGTTAATAAACACACATATATATAATATAATAAATTTATATATATTTTTGTTTTTATTAATTTATGTGTATGTGTATGTGTGTGTATGTATGTGTATGTGTATGTGTATGTGTATGTGTATGTGTATGTGTATGTGTATGTGTATGTGTATGTGTATGTGTATGTGTATGTGTATGTGTATGTGTATGTGTATGTGTATGTGTATGTGTATGTGTATGTGTATGTGTATGTGTATGTGTATGTGTATGTGTATGTGTATGTGTATGTGTATGTTTGTATGTGTATGTGTATGTGTATGTTTGTATGTGTATGTGTATGTGTATGTTTGTATGTGTATGTGTATGTGTATGTTTGTATGTGTATGTGTATGTTTGTATGTGTATGTGTATGTTTGTTGTATGTGTATGTATGTGTATGTTTGTATGTGTATGTGTATGTATATGTTTGTATGTGTATGTGTATGTGTATGTTTGTATGTGTATGTGTATGTGTATGTGTATGTGTATGTTTGTATGTGTATGTGTATGTGTATGTTTGTATGTGTATGTGTATGTGTATGTTTGTATGTGTATGTGTATGTTTGTATGTGTATGTGTATGTATATGTTTGTATGTGTATGTGTATGTGTATGTTTGTATGTGTATGTGTATGTGTATGTGTATGTTTGTATGTGTATGTGTATGTTTGTATGTGTATGTGTATGTGTATGTGTATGTGTATGTGTATGTGTATGTGTATGTGTATGTGTATGTGTATGTGTATGTGTATGTGTATGTTTGTATGTGTATGTGTATGTTTGTATGTGTATGTGTATGTATATGTTTGTATGTGTATGTGTATGTGTATGTTTGTATGTGTATGTGTATGTGTATGTGTATGTTTGTATGTGTATGTGTATGTTTGTATGTGTATGTGTATGTGTATGTGTATGTGTATGTGTATGTGTATGTGTATGTGTATGTGTATGTGTATGTGTATGTGTATGTGTATGTGTATGTTTGTATGTGTATGTGTATGTTTGTATGTGTATGTGTATGTGTATGTGTATGTGTATGTGTATGTGTATGTTTGTATGTGTATGCGTATGTGTATGTGTATGTGTATGTGTATGTGTATGTGTATGTGTATGTGTATGTGTATGTGTATGTGTATGTGTATGTGTATGTGTATGTGTATGTGTATGTGTATGTGTATGTGTGTATGTATGTGTATGTGTATGTGTATGTGTATGTGTATGTGTATGTGTATGTTTGTATGTGTATGTGTATGTTTGTATGTGTATGTGTATGTGTATGTGTATGTGTATGTGTATGTGTATGTGTATGTGTATGTGTATGTTTGTATGTGTATGCGTATGTGTATGTGTATGTGTATGTGTATGTGTATGTGTATGTGTATGTGTATGAGTATGTGTATGTGTATGTGTATGTGTATGTGTATGTGTATGTTTGTATGTGTATGTGTATGTGTATGTGTATGTGTTTGTTTGTATGTGTATGTGTATGTGTTTGTTTGTATGTGTATGTGTGTGTTTGTATGTTTGTATGTTTGTATGTGTATGTGTATGTGTATGTGTATTTGTATGTGTATGTGTATGTGTATGTGTATGTGTATGTGTATGTGTCTGTGTATGTGTATGTGTATGTGTATGTGTATGTGTATGTTTGTATGTGTATGTGTATGTTTGTATGTGTATGTGTATGTGTATGTTTGTATGTGTATGTGTATGTGTATGTGTATGAGTATGTGTATGTGTATGTGTATGTGTATGTGTATGTTTGTATGTGTATGTGTATGTATATGTTTGTATGTGTATGTGTATGTGTATGTGTATGTGTATGTGTATGTTTGTATGTGTATGTTTGTATGTGTATGTTTGTATGTGTATGTTTGTATGTGGATGTGTATGTGTATGTTTGTATGTGTATGTGTATGTGTATGTGTATGTGTGTATGTGTATGTGTATGTGTATGTGTATGTGTATGTGTATGTGTATGTGTATGTGTATGTGTATGTGTATGTGTATGTGTATGTGTATGTGTATGTTTGTATGTGTATGCGTATGTGTATGTGTATGTGTATGTGTATGTGTATGTGTATGTGTGTATGTATGTGTATGTGTATGTGTATGTGTATGTGTATGTGTATGTGTATGTGTATGTGTATGTGTGTATGTATGTGTATGTGTATGTGTATGTGTATGTGTATGTGTATGTGTATGTGTATGTGTATGTGTATGTTTGTATGTGTATGTGTATGTGTATGTTTGTATGTGTATGTGTATGTGTATGTGTATGTGTATGAGTATGTGTATGTGTATGTGTATGTGTATGTGTATGTGTATGTTTGTATGTGTATGTGTATGTGTATGTGTGTGTTTGTATGTTTGTATGTTTGTATGTGTATGTGTATGTGTATGTGTATGTGTATGTGTATGTGTATGTGTATGTGTATGTGTATGTGTATGTGTATGTGTATGTGTTTGTTTGTATGTGTATGTGTGTGTTTGTATGTTTGTATGTGTATGTGTGTGTTTGTATGTTTGTATGTTTGTATGTGTATGTGTATGTGTATGTTTGTATGTGTATGTGTATGTGTATGTGTATGTGTATGTTTGTATGTGTATGTGTATGTGTATGTTTGTATGTGTATGTGTATGTTTGTATGTGTATGTGTATGTGTATGTTTGTATGTGTATGTGTATGTGTATGTGTATGTGTATGAGTATGTGTATGTGTATGTGTATGTGTATGTGTATGTGTATGTGTATGTGTATGTGTATGTGTATGTGTATGTGTATGTGTATGTGTATGTGTATGTGTATGTGTATGTGTATGTGTATGTGTATGTGTATGTGTATGTGTATGTGTATGTGTATGTGTATGTGTATGTGTATGTGTATGTGTATGTGTATGTGTATGTGTATGTGTATGTGTATGTGTATGTGTATGTGTATGTGTATGTGTATGTGTATGTGTATGTGTATGTGTATGTGTATGTGTATGTGTATGTGTATGTGTATGTGTATGTGTATGTGTATGTGTATGTGTATGTGTATGTGTATGTGTATGTGTATGTGTATGTGTATGTGTATGTGTATGTGTATGTGTATGTGTATGTGTATGTGTATGTGTATGTGTATGTGTATGTGTATGTGTATGTGTATGTGTATGTGTATGTGTATGTGTATGTGTATGTGTATGTTTGTATGTGTATGCGTATGTGTATGTGTATGTGTATGTGTATGTGTATGTGTATGTGTATGTGTATGTGTATGTGTATGTGTGTATGTATGTGTATGTGTATGTGTATGTGTATGTGTATGTGTATGTGTATGTGTATGTGTATGAGTATGTGTATGTGTATGTGTATGTGTATGTGTATGTGTATGTTTGTATGTGTATGTGTATGTGTATGTGTATGTGTTTGTTTGTATGTGTATGTGTATGTGTTTGTTTGTATGTGTATGTGTGTGTTTGTATGTTTGTATGTTTGTATGTGTATGTGTATGTGTATGTGTATGTGTATGTGTATGTGTATGTGTATGTGTATGTGTATGTGTATGTGTATGTGTATGTGTATGTGTATGTGTATGTGTATGTTTGTATGTGTATGTGTATGTTTGTATGTGTATGTGTATGTGTATGTTTGTATGTGTATGTGTATGTGTATGTGTATGAGTATGTGTATGTGTATGTGTATGTGTATGTTTGTATGTGTATGTGTATGTATATGTTTGTATGTGTATGTGTATGTGTATGTGTATGTGTATGTGTATGTTTGTATGTGTATGTTTGTATGTGTATGTTTGTATGTGTATGTTTGTATGTGTATGTGTATGTGTATGTTTGTATGTGTATGTGTATGTGTATGTGTATGTGTATGTGTATGTGTATGTGTATGTGTATGTGTATGTGTATGTGTATGTGTATGTGTATGTGTATGTGTATGTGTATGTGTATGTGTATGTGTATGTGTATGTGTATGTGTATGTGTATGTGTATGTGTATGTGTATGTGTATGTGTATGTGTATGTGTATGTGTATGTGTATGTGTATGTGTATGTTTGTATGTGTATGTGTATGTGTATGTGTATGTGTATGTTTGTATGTGTATGTGTATGTGTATGTGTATGTGTATGTGTATGTGTATGTGTATGTGTATGTGTATGTGTATGTGTATGTGTATGTGTATGTGTATGTGTATGTGTATGTGTATGTGTATGTGTATGTGTATGTGTATGTGTATGTGTATGTGTATGTTTGTATGTGTATGCGTATGTGTATGTGTATGTGTATGTGTATGTGTATGTGTATGTGTATGTGTGTATGTATGTGTATGTGTATGTGTATGTGTATGTGTATGTGTATGTGTATGTGTATGTGTATGTGTGTGTATGTATGTGTATGTGTATGTGTATGTGTATGTGTATGTGTATGTGTATGTGTATGTTTGTATGTGTATGTGTATGTGTATGTTTGTATGTGTATGTGTATGTGTATGTGTATGTGTATGAGTATGTGTATGTGTATGTGTATGTGTATGTGTATGTTTGTATGTGTATGTGTATGTGTATGTGTGTGTTTGTATGTTTGTATGTTTGTATGTGTATGTGTATGTGTATGTGTATGTGTATGTGTATGTGTATGTGTATGTGTATGTGTATGTGTATGTGTATGTGTATGTGTATGTGTATGTGTATGTGTATGTGTATGTGTTTGTTTGTATGTGTATGTGTGTGTT